GTGCCCTCGCTGCGGTGCGCTCACGGAACTGCCCCATGGGCTGGCTGCGGGGCGCAGAGTCCACGGCCCGTGGCGCTGACCAGCTGTCTCTGTTCGCAGGTCCCCCCGGTGGCACCCGCTGAGACGCAGGTCGGGAGCTCCCTGTGTTCTGCGTTTGTGCAGCTCAAAGCGCCACGGGGCTCTGGCCCCTGCCTAGAGCTCCCACGCCCTGCCGCGCATGGCCACTGCCAAGGACAGTTTTCGGGTGACAAGAGGCCACCGACTCCTGGGCTGGGGCGTGGCTGGAAAATGGCTGAGGGGGGCAGTGAGTTTTGCCCCTTCGGGATCAATGCCACATGACCGATCTTAGGAGTTGCCTGCAGGGATCTCTCCACCGTGTCACAAACAGACCTGGGCAGCCACGTCCCACGCCCCCAGCCACGCCACACCATGCCCCTTTCTGCCCCTGTGGCGTAGTGGGGGGGCCTTGCTGGTGGCTAGGCTTGGGCAGTGGGCTGTGGGTGATCTCCGCTGGCAGCTGTCTGTAGCACGGCCCAGCAGGACAGGGGATGAGTCACTAGGCAAGGGGCTCCCAACCTGTCCGACCAGTCGCCTCCCAGGGAGAGAGACAAAGGGAGGAAGGCGGGGTCCAACCCCTGGCTAGGGGCAGGGCGGGAAGAGAGTTTAGTTTCCGTCTGGGAAGCAGGGGAGAAGGGGCTAGGGAGGGGGCGGAGAAGGCAGGGCCCAGCCACCCCCCATCTCAAGGGGGGGGCCCTGAGGCCTCCTAGCCCCAGTTCCCGTAACCAGATTGCATCTGTGCTGGGCTGTATCCGGGAGAAGCAATAGCAGAGTGGCCCCAGGGCCCAGCAGCGACGGGTGGGAGGATCCTCCCTCTGAGGGATCTGTGCAGGGATCCTCCCTCTGAGCCCCGCTTGTTTCCTTCCAGCCTGCCATATCCTGGAGTGCCCCGAGGGCCTGGCGCAGGACGTGATCAGCACCATCGGGCAGGCCTTCGAGCTGCGCTTCAAGCAGTACTTGAAAAACCCCCCCAAGCTCGTCACACCCCATGACAGGTATGGGGGGGGCACCGCTGAGCTGCCAGGCCAGGGGGAAGTGCTCAGAGCCAGGGCTACTCACAGCCCAAGCCTGGGTCCTCTGTACGGCACCAAACCAGGCACAGTGAGCACGTCGGCTGCCCCCCGGCCAGCAAGAAGCTGCATCATCCCCTCGGATCCCCCAGCGCTCCCTGTGCCCCCCCAGCCCCTCTTACGCA